GTTCTGCATTCTGATGTTTTTAATGATTTCATAAAGAGAAATCTGTTTTATCCCTGCCTGACATGCTGATTGGGGATTAAAGCTAGAGGGAAAAGAGACAAATTACAATCTGTGACCAACTGATTGGTTCACAGAATACCATCCATCCATCCATCCATCCATCGCATCAGTGTTAAGTGATCAATGGGTGACAGCCTTCATTAAGACTCTAGTTTGAGTAAGAAAGTTTCCTGTTTCAGGAGAGATTTGAACGTTGTGCGTGTTGAGTCAGTCAGAGCTGTTACATCAGAATCCAGTGAAATGCAGACTGTTTGCTAAAGCCCTCATGCTTTCCATATGATCAGGCATCAACTGGGAAAATCCCTTTTTCTTCTCACAGCTTTAAAGTCTTCCGAAAGAAACAGCTTCTGGCAGGAAGACGTACCTTCCAGAAAGAATCGCTGCACTTATTTCAGTTTCCACTGCTGCTTCAGTGGCCGCCTCTTGAAAGTTTTTTTTTTTTTCCAAACAAATAAAGCAAAGCGATGCAGTCTGAGATGTTATGCTGCTCGCTTTTCCTCCGTTTCGCAGCGCTTTTCCTGTCAGCAGTTGTGGTGGAAATAAAGCCACCGTTTCAAGGCGCATCAAGCCCAGTGTGAAGATACCGTTCCTCAAAGTTGACGTCACCAAGCCTCAAAGAGAGGTTTTCTTTCCACAAAGGAAGAGGGAAAGAAAGCGCTGCAAAAGCTCATACTCAGCTCTGGTTCTGCTGGAGGTTTCTTCCTGTTCAAGGGTAGTTTTTCCTCTCCTCTGTCATTACATTCATGCTGTACATGGATTACTGTACAGTCCAGAACTTAACACAATTGATTTGCTACATCCTCGTCCGGCAGGAGTGAATCCTGCAAGTCAGTGACTGACTGCTGGGTTTCCTTAGGCAGAAATGTTTTAATCTACTCTGAAGAATTTATTGTGCACAATTAACTAGGGTCAATTAGAATGTATATGTGACTGAATATAAATGATTTTTAAAATGAACACCAGTTTAAACCTCTGAAATGATGAACAGCCCAGTGATTGGCAAGTTGGTGTTTGAAGTCCTTCTGTTTTGTGTCAGACTGTCACTGTGAGCTCAACAGGGAGCGACTTTTCAATCCCACTCGATGTTGAGACTCTTAAAGGTCAATATGGCATTGATTTCACTGAGCCTCATGGTGGATCACACCATGAGCCCCTAAGACAATGGCAGGCTGGCTGAAGTCGGCTCTAACCTTCATTATCTTTGGAATATGAAATAAAATTACAGAAGAAAAAGTGAGTTCAATCTACAGCACGACTGCACAATACATCCACAGAATTACTTATATCTTTTGAACTTCAGTGTGAAGATCACGACATGCTAAATGTGTCGACTGTTATATTCCAAGAATCAAGGATCTACTCTGTTGGGTCAAAGTCCTATTGTTAGCTTTTGGCTGGAGTTCAATTGTAGTAGATACCCAAAGGTTAAAGGTTGCATTTAAACAGGGTTAAATTATGGAAGGAATTCTGGTGCCATAGTGGAAATCATGTGGTGCACCAACATTTCAAAGACAACAGGACGGTTGGTTTCTGCTACAGACGGCAGGACTATAAGAGCAAACCATGGGCAGTTTTCCCTCAAAGTCATTAATGAGAGATCAATAAACTGATAGAAAAAGTATTTGGGGAAAATTACATTGAAATACCAAGTATTTGGCCAATTTAATGTTCAAGCTTTGGGTTTCATTTAGGACCATTAACATTAACTAATGTTAATCCTTAACATTAGGATTAAAGCACCTTAATGTTAAGGATGCATTAACATTTACGCATCCTTAACATTAAGGTGTGTTTCATATTAACTTAAGGCATTAATATTATGTAGAGAGCCGTCCATCAGAATCAGTCAGGCACTACAAAACCTGATACACCATATTTGTCTTTCTTATGGAAAGACTGGTAGCTCTCCATAAGAAAGGGGTCAAACCGACATTGACCCCTTTGTTGGGTCAAAGCCGGTTATTGTAGTTTCAGTGAGGTACTTGAAAGCAAACCCAGGATGTAAACAAGGAAACCAAACTTGTCTGTGGCACAGCGACAGAGAGAGAAAGATTTTAGCAGGTAACAGGAAGGCTTAATAGAACACAACAGCAATGTGTCGTTTTATCCTTTAGAGCTTTCAACCTCTGTCTCTTATGGACTATGCTGAAAGCCTTTTGGGAATCTCAGACTTAAAGAAATGATCCACTTTTTCTGTCATACTTACACACAAAGTGCTGTTTGGGAGCTAGCCATGCTAACTGCTAATAAAAGATACTACAGATGGTTTAAAATGTCAACTTCAAATCACTTCATTCATCCTTTCTTATAAAATAATAATAAAACCCTGTTTTACAGTAACTGATGAATGGAGACGAAAAAACAATTTCCATAAATTCTAAGTATTTACTGAGTTGTTTGGAAGGACAAACATCAGAACAGGAAGAGAAGAGCCAATGGGAACCATCTCCAGCCTTCCTGTTGTCAGGACAACAAGAAGCTCTGCTGTACCTCTCTGAGAACAGGCCTGAAAGTTCCCAGCTGTTCCCTCCGAGCACACGGCTGCCAGTCAGCAAGCTTGCTCCAACACTGCGCCTTGCATATGAAACAGGACATGGCCCTCCAGCCCCTCTGGGAGTTCACTTCCTCTGAGCCCCAACCACCACAGACCCCTCCTCCCGCCTGAAACAAGCGGCCCCTTCAGCTGGAGGCCAGATATCCCGAGCTGCAGCAGCGAGGAGGGGGAGGGGCAGGAGTCGTCCTCTAAGTAAAACTGGAAGTTTGAGCGTCCCAAAGTTTAAAAGCATCCCTGCAGCTGTGGAGGAAAATGCATCGACCGCAAACAGCATCTATTTGTAGGAGTTAAAAGCTCAAAACAACCACACACGTCAGCTTCAATTTCAGCCTGCTTTGGTTTTCGCAGAGATATCCAGAGTAAACACATGGTGACGGCCTGCAGGAATGCGCTGGCTGTCAGCATAATAACATGTGTGGAGCGAGCGCAAAGTCTGTTTTATTGTTCTCCTTGGGAATCCTGATGTACTTTTATCCCGACGCGGATCAGTTTCCAACAACCTGTGATGGAGGTCAGCTCTTTACACAAAACAGGAAGTGAGGTTTCCACTAAAGTTAGCAGTGGTAAACAGCAGGCCATGTGAATGCCATGCTTAATGCCCAGAGGCAGCAGCAGACTGAGGCCTAATGACCAGGTCTACCTCCAGAACGGGAGGTTCAGCTTGGAACATAAACTCAGTCTGCAAAAGCTCCCCCCCTCTCCCCACTCAGTCTGCAGTGCCTGGCTCCTCTTTGCTCTCATATCTTCTCCAAACAGGCAGCCTGCGGAGAAATCACTTCATCTTGAGGGAAAATTATAAAGTTAGAAACTTGCTAAATCTGCGGCCACAATTCTTATCTAAACATCCTGATGCGGAAAGCCACTGATTATGCGCACCACCCACATGTGCACCAGCCAGAAACCAAAGAGTCTCACAGCCAAGGCCTGGCATCAGAGCTCCACACCCAGCTCAGCCCAGCGCTGCGCCACATCAGCCCGCCGCTGTTCACGGCGCCGTGCATCCTCTGAGATAAGCAGCAGGGAACGGAAAGCTCATTCACCCTGGGACCCCCGACGGGAGGGAGAGAGCCGAGGTTCTCTGTGAATCAGTCACGAGCGTGCCTCAAGCTGAAGCTTTCAAAAGAGCGTCTGCAAGGAGGGAAGTGTGGCAATATCACTTCCTGCGTCTGTCTGCATACGAGACTGCTGCTCACACTTCTGTAACAGCCTTGTTAATATTCACAGAAATGGCCAGCCGCTGAGCTCCCACTGCCACCTTTTCCTCTATGGGCCTCGCCGCATCCCAGAACCTCTTCACATCCCAGAACCCTCGTTAGTCGCTTTATGAAACAGGAGTGGGTTGAAAAAGCAAGACAGAGGAGCCTCCCCTGTTTTGTCTGCAACTTTTAGAAACAGAAGAGCTCCCCCTTCCCAGAATGGAGGCCTTTGAGGTATCCTCACTCCAGCCTGAACACAAAGTATGTGTGTGTGCCAGTAGTCTTGGACCCAGCAGGCATTGCAGGACTCTGGAGGATTCCCCTAGTTCCTGTTTGGTCTCTGGGTCTGACTGGAAGACGGCGGCCTGCCTCCAAATACTTCCTGAGCTCCTTCAACAAGAAGGCCACCGAGGTTCCAATCAGACGCTCCGAAAGGACGCAAAATAACCCAGGAGGTGAGGAGAAGAGGGGGCAGGGGAGCATGTCGGAGGTGGGGATGGGTGGTCCGCTCTGTTTACTGAATGCTCCCCTTTGTTGGAATCATATTATGTTTCCACCACAATACTCTAAACCCTGCTTCATCAGCTCCATTGATGTGGAACAGTTCATGCAAATGGCCGCACTGGGCCTTTTTCACCGAGGGGGTGGATGTGGGGGTGAGACTCCTTTTAAATCGGCCGTTCCCTCCCCGCAAACCCCTCTTCAGGATTTACTTCTAAGAGTTCCTGTCTCATCACCTGAATCTCAGCAAACACAGAGACGCATCGAAACATTCCAAGTGTGTGAAGATGAAATGATTCATTCAGAAATTCGACAGAAAGTTGTAGAAAAGGATTTAAAATTCAATTTAGAAACAACCAGACAAAGTTTTTTTTTTTTTTTTAGCTCAGGGTGTAAAATCCTTGGAGGACACTGTTATTACACCTGGGAATGGGAAATAAACTACCTTCAGGTTAACGTCTCCCTCCCAACCAATGTTTGCACCCCCCACTGAGCCATTTGTTGCTACATGAGATCGTGTTTACTGTATGAGCCAATAAAGAAGGCTTTAAGAGTTTGACGACTCGAATAATGACTTTATTGCCACCACAGGCGTTTTGTTGTCACCAGTGGATGAGGCCTAATTAGTGTCAATATGCCAATGATGGCCGAACACTTCCTCAAAGTGGGAAGACGGGAGAAGACAGGATCTAAACAGGGATCAGAGAGAATTCCGTTTTAGGGATAGGAAAAACTTTGGGGCAAAACTGTGATCCACACATGGATTCCTTCCTTTGGATGGGGGAAATCAGTGGATAAAGCATGGCAGAGCTCAAAGTTGTCAGCAGCAGCAGTGGCGCTTGAACGCAGCCAGACTGACTCACCCTGGATGATGCTTTCCTCTTGTACTTGTTGGCGAAGTCAAATTTCTCCTTGATCTCGTCCAGCAGCAGCTCCAGGCGCGCCTTCTCCTCTTTCCCCGTGTAATCCTGACCCAGGAGGATGTACGCCCTCCAGTTGGCCGAGTCGAAGCCCCAGTGGCAAGTCCTGTTCTCCTGCGCCTTGTGGCTGTGCACCACGAACTTGTGGGTCGGATACATGAGTCTGCAGTCCATGCACTGAATGCACGCTGCGTTGGGGCTGCTGTACAGCTCCGGTACGAACAAGCCCTTGCACTTGCCGAAACACTCGTGGTAGATCTTGAAGCTCCGATCGGTGAGCTGCAGCTCCAGAGAGCCGGAGCCCGGGTCCTTCTTGCATCGCGGCGGATATGCTCCTCCGTAGATCAGGGCGTTGCAGAGCCGCTCGGCGTCCGTCTTGGTGATGAGGCCGCAGGACGGCGCGGAGAAGGGCAGGATGCCCATGACTTTGAGGATCTCCAGCTGGTCCGCCGTGCAGCGGGAACAGTAGATGTGCAGCTCGTCGCACACCGAGTTGATCTGCTGCAGGGAGAAGTCCCGGAGCACCGTGTTGAGGATCTGCGGCAAGCACAGGCGTTTCTCCCCGCCGACCACGAAGCACGAGATGGTCTCCCCCTCCAGCACCGTCTCGCACCTCTCCGTGGAGCGGTCGGACGGGATGAAAAGCGGGCCCGGCATCACGGGCGGCGGCAGATGCTGCAGGACCGGCTCGGGCTCTTTCCCGTCCTTCTTGAAGAGGAGCTCATGCTGCCACCGAGCCGAGAAAGCCGCCGGTCCGCCCAGGGAGTTTATAGCGCTGAGGTGAAACTGCTTCAGAGTTTGTTGCAGTCCCGGGTGAGGCTGGAAGCTCTGCCGACTTACAGTCTCCATGTTTTTCTTCCAACTTTGGAAGCGTTAATCCTTCTCGCTGAACGGGAATCACAAGTATCAATCCGTTCCCCGACCTGGTAAATCCACGGCGTCCCAGAACTGACTAAAACCGAGAAGAGCTTCATCAAACATCCAGTGAACGGAGCTTTTAAAGATCCCTGCGACAGTTCTTACAGTTTTAGTCCAGCTCAGAGAACATCGCTCCCCGCAGCAGGTCGCCGACTGTCCATTTCAAAAAATAAAAAAACGAGACTGTCTGAAACTCCAGAGTGCCGAAAAGTTCTGTTGGTCGATTCCCAAAGCAGAGCAGGCGAAAACCAACCGAAGCGGGGAAAAGCTCGGCGAGGGAAAAAAAAAATCTTACTCTGGGCTTCTTTCCGCTGTCGAGGACTGCAGAGAACCGCTCGGTCTGCCCCCGCAGTTCACTCTGACTGGATGGAGATGAGAAGTCTGAGAAGCAGCCTGCCGTGCCCGTCCGCGCGCGCTCCCCCACTCCCTCCCTGCCTCTCTGCCTCGCGCCCCGTCTAGCTCTCTCTCACGCGCCCTCTCCCTCCCCTTTCCTCCACCGCTCTTCCTCCACCCTCAGTGTTTGTGTGTCTGGCTCAGTCATTGAATCCCAGCCAGGAATGTGAGTGACTCTGCAGGCAGGCCAGGCTCTTCCAGGAACGAGCCGTCACCCCCTCACCGCCGCTGACACCGTAGACACGCACGCACACGACATGCGCCGCAACGCGCGCACAAACACGCGCAAGCACTGCGCGGACAGCTTAACACAGACCTCGAAGCAGGGGAAAAAAAGTGTAGAAAGTTAGAAGACTTTTGCCGCTTTAAAGAGTGTGTAGGGGAAATATATTTTTTAAATCAGTCGCATTTTATTATTCTGTGTTGGAAACATTTTTTTGTTTGTTTGTTTTAGAACAAATGTAAAGTTTTAATATTAGCCAAAGCAAGGAAGGACGTTTGAGACCCCATGCTGATATTCATAGGGTCTCGTCAGCCACCATAGCTGGCGAGGAAGCAATTATGCATGACTATTAAACTAGTCACTACACATTACTTAAATGTCACTTCGTAAAGGGTTCTCCACAATAACATTTGATTTTATTGAGTTTTTCTTTACGATTTACTTTCCATAACAATGATGTATAATCAGTGAACATATGGAGGGCAAATACCAAGGGAAGGAGCAAAGCTTTGGCGTGTTCAAAGTAAAAAGGGTTGTTGTCACCCACTGATTTATTTAGTCACTGTGTAAAAAAAATTGTGTTTTCTGAGATCAGACAAAAGCCTGTTGGATTCTGTAAATTATTCTATTTTAACATAACTAGCTATGTCATAAAATGTATTTATTCCTAGAGCTGGATCTGGAAAAGCTGGATAATAGGAAAAAAAAAATTTGTGACAGCAGTAGAAAATCAAAAAAGACAATTTAAAAAATACCATGACAAATTTTGCAATGAAAAAGACATCATACCTAAGTTTGCTGAAACGCAGAACAGATCACTGCTCTGTACAGCAGTACTGTCTTTTTAGATTTTACCAAATGCTCAAGAAACATCACCACATTAATGGACAGTGTTTTGTAGTAATTATCTGCAGGAAACTAAACTGAAAGACAGATTCTGGGTTTTATTTGTCATCTCACAACGTCCAGGGGCGAGTTGATGTAAGTCAGTTGGTTCAGTGAGAGAAGAACCAAAAAGAGGATGGGTGTTGTCTTGTGAGACAGGACATATTTAAGCTACCCGTCTGGCTGTGGTTTAGTGTACCTTCTGCTTTAATGTGCTAAGAAGAGCTATCAGTGAGAGGCGAAATTATCAGAAGTTGACAAACAGCAACTAGGTTGGATTTAAAACTCAGCGATATTTCCATGTTTTTACATGAGTTTTCTCAAAGGAATCTTAATGTTTCTAAAGCTGTACCGTTTAAGTATTTTCAAATTACATCTTTAGATATACTGTTTGTTTAATCGTTTCATTAGATTCAGTTTTGTTACAGAAAAAGAAGTAAAACTGGAGGAATTAGTAAAAGATAATCCTGATCTGTAATCCAAACCAACCGGGGAGGATTGGCAGGGTTTGGGTTCATGTGTTTAGGGCAAGTTCAACTCCCAGAGAGTTCTGGTGGTTTCTGCTCTTATAGCGTCCCCTGTCCAAATCTGGCTGCAACTGCAACCTAAAATGTGGGTCATGACCTGAAACCAGCGCTTTGCTGTGTTCAGAGAGCACCTTTCCAACACACACAAAACACAGAGAGCTTGAAGAGCAACAGCAAGACTTAGGAGGAAACAAACGTGGAATCATAATGACAGTAATAAGACGAACGGCAAGAACAGTTGAGGTTAAATGTTTTGTTTTTCAATATCTACTTTTTTAGGGGGTATAAAATATGTCCATGTCCTGATGCCACATCCTGCCATTGGATTACCGATCCAAAGTTTAATTTTTAAATATTTGAAAATGCTGTAAACAGATTTACAGATAGTACATATTAATTTATTACCAAGAAGGTACAGAGTCGTCAGGGACTAGAGTGTCTTTAATAAGTTATTCCCACTTTGGATTTATTACCATTTTATTTATTTGAAAATTCACTTTTCATGGTCAACAATATATGGGGCCAAAAATGTATTTTTGACCAAAATTACAACCAAAAATGTAATGTAAATGTGAAAACTGATTTCTAAAAAAAAAATAAATAAATAAAATCACGTAGCATTAAAACAGTTTGCAGAGATATTGACCCCCTTGGTTGCCGTTAGAGCATTTTCAGTGTGGATCCCGGGTTGGTGGGGATCAACGGCCCTTTACTAGCCTAGCCAAACGTTCTCTATGGGACTGAGGCCTGGGCTTTGACTAGGTCACTTCAGAACTTCCACGTTGTTGTCTTCAAACCATCTCTGTGTAGCTCCAGCTGTTTGGCTGGATAATAAATGTTCCCTGAAGCCGTAGTTCTCCTGCAGATGGAAACTAATTGTCCTCCAGGATTTCCCTTTGTTCTGGTGCCTTCATCTGACCTTCTACATTCAAAATGTTTTCAGGGCCTGCTGCTGAGAAGCACCTCACAGCATGATGCAGCCACCACTATGTTTCACAGTGGAGATAGTGTGTTTGTGGTGATGTGCAGTGTTTTGGTGTCCATCTTGTGTGTCTGGGCAAAAGGTTCTGTTATGGATTCTGTGTTTTTCCTCTGTCTCTTTTATTTGCTGACACGCACACTGCTGCGGCTAACATAATCATGTTTATGTGCGACTGTTACCAGCGACTATCGCCAGTCGTACATAAACAGACTGAAACTGATTAGACTAACCTTTAGGGAGGGTATTGCAGAGAAGAATGAAAGCTAAACTCAAGCTACAGTCTTTGCCTCACTTGGTTGCATCCATCAGGTGAGCTCAGTGTGGCTCCAGCTCTGGACGGTGAATGTAACTCTGTGTCTGTTCCATTTATATGACGTGTAGCTTGTAACTTTTGATCATTTTTCACCATTAAAAGCCTGGTTTTATACTCAACCAAACCTCATTGTTTCTCAAGGTAATTACACTGAGGGGTTCTAGTCGGGTCCTGAAACTGGTAAACGAACCTGGGTGGGGCACAGAGATAAAAGTGATTGAACTACGACAATTCTATTTTGGACCAAAGAAGTGTCTTTCCTCTGACCATGGAGTCACAGCTGTCCTTAAACTACAGTCACTGGCTGATCTCCATTCCACTCACTGTGAGACTACCAGCACCAACTGGCTGGACCTCTGTTGATTTAGGTCAGTCACTTTAAAGGTGGCCAATATTATTGCAAATCGCTTATTTATGCTACATAGTTTTGATTAATTGTCATTATGTTAAAGAAATTAATTTTCACTTTGATGTTAAAGGCAATTTTTGTGATTTTTCTTTTGTCAGAAAATCCAAAAATGTGTTGATCGTGACTGATTAGTAAAAGCAGTAAAAAGGGTAAGACATCAAAGGGAGTGAATACTTTTTACCGGTGCTGTGTCTCCAGCCACTGGAAAGGTTATCAGTCCATCAAAGGGCCATACAGCATGCAGACTCACAGCAATGTTCACTGAAGAGCAGTCAGTTATTAACCCAACATGGGTGTTTTTGGAGTTGGAGGGGAATCCTTGGGGGAAAAGTCAGGAGCTTCTTGTTCTGAGGCAACAGAGCTAACAACTTCCCCACTGTGCAGCCCAGGGAAAATGCTTTTGACACCTAAATTCTTAAGTGGCACCTGAAAGAATTTAATGATCAACTGACCATTTAATGGACATCTAACTAATTCATTTTCAGAGTAAAGACTTTATGCTCTCTATTTTACTATTACACCTAACTGACAATGTCTGGGTTTCGCCTTAAAAAGTGAATTTTCAGAAAAGAATGCTAGTCTATTTATAGTTTTTCTCCTTTTTTTTAGGCACTTTGGTGAATTCCTCAAATCACCCTCGATATTTGCAAAACAGTAATTGCATTTCTCAAAATAATTTCCTCAAACAGCAAGAAACCAGTGAAAAACTGCAAAATCCAGTCTATGCCTCAAAACGCTTAGCTCATCTCTCAAAATGAATCATCTGTGTCAGTGAACATATCAGTGCTTCAGAATGTCAAGTCCTTTTTTCATTGCATATGGCAGAGACCTTTGGAGGGGCCGGGGCTCAGAGTTAAAAAGGGAACACCATCTTAAAACACCATACGACATAGCAACAACCCATATTAATCAAGAATCTAATATTTAATCAGATGACACTGTATCATTATCATCATGTGAGGGCAATGCAAAGCAAATCTTTGTTTTCCTTGATAAGTATAATGTTGCTGTTTCTGGTGCTGGCAGAGGTGGAGGGCTGAGTTGATCTGAGACTGCAGCTGTTAAACAGACCAGAGCAGAGAAGGTCTCTGGTTATGAAGTTATGAAATAAGCAAATCTGATACTATGTTACTAAATAAGCCCTAATAATATCTGACTGTTTAACTTCCGTAGTAACTTGGCTGCAGGCTGTTTTCAAGACTGAAAAAATTCAGAGGGGTTAACTCTATATAACTTTTGGATGAAAGCTCCTCTGAGATCTAGAATTATAAAACTGAAAGACATCAGGGCAGAGAAAACTCAGTAGCTGGTGGTAGGGGCCCTCCAGACATCCAGGGGCCCCTATGAACGGTTGAATTGTAGCATATTGAGAATAACAATGCTATTAAATTTTATTTAATTCTTTCAGCAAAGATAAAATAAAATAAATTGTATGTTTAGGATTTAATTTGTAAGCTTACTTGGTATAAGTGCAAAGAATCTTAATAGTTTGATTGTTGTGTTACCATGGCTACAGTCAGATGCTACCTGTAATCTTTGTGTTTGAGCTGGGTTTGTTCACAATTACATCACAATAAATAATAGCCAGTAATCAGTGGTTGATTTTAAGCTGAAGCAACTAACCTGGGCCCCCTCTCACAGACTTCTCTGAATCTATATTTAAGCACTGCTAGTGATGCTGATGTTCTGAGTAGAAAGGTGTGAACCTGCCTGATAGTAATACAAGGTTAAGATGAAGAGAGCGAACAGTGAACAGGTGGTACCGGGGGGCTTTGAGGTGCGTCGCTGTGACAGTTGCAGCAGAGTACTTTTTCTTTAAATCAGGATGTCTGATTCTGACCCCAAGTAGTGGGACCACCTCAGTCTACCTGTAGCAAACCGGGCATTTAGTCCACCACTGAGGCAGCCTGGTAAAATTAAAGTCAGAAGTTTTCTCTGCAGCCGAACTATTTCTGAATTTGGGGGCGAGGAGGGTTTTTTTCTTACTATTGCGAAGACCATTACAAAAATAAATAAAGACAAATTTTCTAACTTCA